TCCCCATGCATACACAGCCAGGGCGCGAGAGCGAAAGAGAAGACACATCTCGAGCCGCCGACAAAACGAAGTTCCAGAGCTGCCAGATGAAGATGGCGATTAGTCCGGTGGAAAGATTGTAGCAGTTGATCCTCGAGCTCCCCATCGTGGGGGCGCAAATCTCATAACGAAGGAGACTGGCGAGTCCCAAGAGACGATGATTCGAAAAGGAGCACCCGGCTTCGCAAGCCACCGTTCCTGATCGTCCTGCTCTGTAGTAAGAGAGTCTAGACTGCAAGCGTCAGAATATGTACGATAAGTAACTACTGGTCAAGGTGCAACTAGGGTTGGGGGTGGGGGGAGGGCAACTCTTGGTACAGAGAACTGAGGGCTCGGTGTCTGCTTTGGCTCACGAAACTCGCGGCCAGACTCTGCCTCAGACTCGGTCAAACATGCCAAGGAAGCCAGTATGGTCGGGAAGGAAACGGCAGGATGAAGGTGTTCCCGGGTGCCGATTGGCTTGCCCCCGCATCCCCCCCTTCCGCCAGGAGATCTGGTTCACCACTCCGGGCGCCGTATCACGTCCCCAGACTCTGAGTCTGTGACATGACCCAGACTGTCGATGAGGGAGGACATCTCGAATGGGGGGCTAGACCCGGCAAAATTCTGAGCCTGTACATAGTACACACAATAGATGGCTCGTTCCCCACGATGGAGGGCACAAGTTGGTCCCAGTAGCAGTCATCCTCGCAACCTCGCTCGGGACGAGCGGAAGGCTGTCACCTGCCCACTCATCCCAGGCGCCCTGTACTGTCACTGTCACAGGGCCAAATATGGTTCGACCAAAGATGGGATGGAAGATGTAAGTGTACCCCATGTCCCTGGAGCACCTAGTTCGCCGACAACCCTCGTCCCCGGGCCCTCCCTTCTCTCCCCCTCCTTCCTTCCAGCGATGTCAGATCTGTTGAGTCATAGGATAGAAGGCGCCGTCACAACTGCTAAACAGGCCTTCGTCGTAGCTAAATCTGACTGTTGTCAGATGATTCGCTGTTATCGAGACAGCCAATACTATTTGTGGTGGTGGATCCTGGACTATGGGCCTCAATGCTCTCTTTCTTCCTACCAGTCCAGCTGCCCTGTCAGCGATCCTAATGATGAACCTCAAGTCAAGAGGTCGAGTCGGTCGGTGAAGGATGCTAACTTCTTCGGAAGAACCCTAGGGCCATTCGATGGCGTTGAGTGTATCGTGTGCGGAGTATTCTGGTATGTGGTAGGCAGAGACGGGGCCCAAGTTGACGTTGGAGCTTTGGTAGCGGAGGAGCGGTTGCGATAGGTCCGCAGGGCTGGGCAAAAGGTGGGAGAAGGTGGGGAGCAGGTGAGACGACTGTTTCATGTGTGAAGTAATTCCTTCGATCCTACCTCCCCAGCTGGCGCTAAACTTATTATGGCAGATCTTGGGTCCTACAGCCCGCTAGCTGTCAGGCCGGGCCACTCATAGATGAGCTTTCCGCTGGCATCCTTGTACGGCAGGCTGGCATTAGGTGGGGTGGTACAAGCCCCCCCTGCAGCTGCCTCCAGATGTGCGTGGGTGGGCTCCCCTTCCTTTTTTTCAACGACACTTGCTGCTTCCACCCAAAACCTCGCACATTTGGGATCTCGAGATACCCACGTAACGCCTGCACGCACCACACATCTTCCCCAATCTGTTCTGGTGCCTAAATCTGTTGTCCTCTAAGCTGTCTGTTTTTTAAGCTTGTCTGTCGACAATGTTCTACTCGTCTTATCCTGACAGCCAAGCCAACACGGCCATTGCGCTGGGCTGCGTGCCTAAGGGGGGGAGGGGGAGGTCGAGGTGGAGGACTCAGGTAATTGATGTGACGGGCTCAGACTCTGCTGCTGCTGCTGTCCCGTCAGCCTTGTCCAGAGCTCCTCTCCCCCACTGATCTCCCTCAAATCAGAAGATCACACTTTTCATGAACCTGGGCTAAACATCACTCGGCACCTCTCCGGGGTCGTCATGACGACTTCAAACAGAGCCTTGATCCTGCGTCATCTCCCTTGTCGAGTCTCATGCCCTCTTCTGTGCCCAGCTGGCTGTCCGTCCGTCTGCCTGCAGCCAGTCACCACGGCGACGACGGCCTTTGCTGAACGTCACATTTCCCAGAATTCGTAACCCTCGCTTGGTAGTGGGGATAACAGGGCAGACTAACTACCGTGGCTGTCTGGCGCTTCTCTATTTTCGTACAGGACTCGTGTCGCCTGCGGCTGCGGCTCTTAGCCAGGGCTGTAACCGCAGCCTCCGTGTCGGCCGATTTTTTTCAATCTCATCTATAACCGTGACAAGACCTTTTACCACGGTGAGGCATGTCTTTCGCGCACTGCCCCTCGCTCTCCTATCCTGTGGCTGTCTTCAGCCTCGTTTCTCTCAGCTATCTCCTACGGACCTCCTTGGGCGATTTTTAGCGGCCCAGGCCCACTACTGGGCTCGACTTTGTCGTCTGCTTGAGACCAGGCTTCTCGCTGGGGTGCAGGCGACATCCTTGCGCGAAGCTCTCGCACGGTCGACACGGCCAACTTTCGATGATCGATTTTGGACCTGTGTTGCGAGCGAGCACCAGGATACACGCTCGCGCGCGCGCGCGAGACGCCAGGTACCCCAAGACCTAACAAAAAAAAAAAAAAAAAAAAAAAAAGGTGACAGACTTTTGTCTTCCTTTCTTGGTAATCGGGTTCTCGAGTCCCGTGAATTTTACGAACGCTTGAGCTTGTGGCGGAAATGATACCTATCTCGCGATTAAGCAGGGAACTCTGTCTAGTTTGTGTGGCCTCATCAACGACCTTACTGTTACTTACACACACACACACACACACACACACACACACACATCTCCGTGACCCCCTCTCTTGTCTCTCTCTCTCTTACAGAGGATGACTCGCTCAGTGTGACGTCCTCGGTCGATCTCAACCGTTAAGCCCGAGGGTCTAAAATCCTGACGTCTGCCAGTCCGGGGGGCCTGGGTAGAGTACCGATGATGGCATGGAAGACTACTAGCCTGCTGTAATTATGGTATTCCCTTCTCTCCTCCCTGGCAGCCAAAAACTCCCATAGTCCATCCAGATGGGGACACTGGACCTGAGACAAGTTACCGAAATCCAGGCCCTGACCCACCTATCTGGGCTCAGGGCTGAGCAGCAGTTAGGATGAATTGGGTTTCCTCGGCCCAGAGCCGCTCGACCTAGACACCCCCCATCTACACACTGTCGTCCCTCCCTACTTTCCCAGCCTGTACCACAGTACCTCCTTCTTTGACGTCTCAGCCTTCCCTCATCCCCACCCACCCACCCCAACACACCACACTTGGTCTCTTTTCTAACTTTACTATGTACCGTCCTCCCTTCCTACTATAGTATCTTCATCCGTTCGTGTCGTCCCGGCCTGGTGGAACTACTGGGCTGTACACTTACTCTGGAAACCCCAGGGCGGTATACTTGTCTGCCCTCGTCACTCTCCCTCCCTCCCTCCTTCCAGGCTGTGACCTTGTTTGCAATGTCTGGGGCCAACCCTTTTCCCATCGAGGGGTGATTTTGAGAACCCTTGTATCCTTACTCCCAAAATAAGCCTTGACTGGGTCCGTTCTGGGTACTATGGTACATCGGCATCTCGAGTCTCCTCCCCCCCACACACCAATGGGGGATTCCACACACATCGATGTCCCGTCCTTCAAATCCTTGCAGTATCTTCTTGAATGGGCAAAGTCCACCACTTTCCTTGCTCCCCACCTCTTTCTTCAAAATCCAAGACTGCAGGCCAGGCTTGTATCAGGGATTCCGGCTTAGCACCTACCGACGTTCCGAATCTGTCGCCTCGGCGGTGTTGGTCTATTCAAGGTTGATGCCGTTCAATACCACGGTACATTTCTTTTATACTGCCAGGGTTTCCTTCTTGCACTGCCCCTCCATCTGGGTCTCTATTTTTTTGCTCTCCTTCCCCCTGTTGTGCCCACCGTCCGTCCAGGAACCTTTTGATCATCGAAAGCTCACTGCCAGTCGCTCCTTTCCACCCCCCTATCCCTTCCATTGGACCTTGAACCTATATCACCGCCGTCCGCCTTCGACCGCTGCCCTATAACATAGCAAGAGCTGGCTCTCTTTTTCCCTCCGACGGATGCCAGTCGTTGCCCTTCCGCGTCGTCACCTCGAGTTGTCTCTACGACTCACCACGCTCCTTTGAACAACCCCTGCTCGACCAACACGGGTTCTTCTCCCCACCCCCCCCCCCAACAGCAAGAACTGACCAAAAAAGAGAACATCGTCACTTTTTACTCCGAGACGAGTGTGTCGATTATCCGTCTACGCCGTCCCACACACAGGAAGAGTCTACTTAACTCGAGAACCCCACCGACCCCCCCGACCCTTGGGATCTACACGGTCTTGATCTCAGCAGAACCGTCCCCCATATTATTCCTAAAAAGCTTGGGCAGGCCGCTCCAGCATCCCCTCTTTTCATCGACACTGACTGGTATTCACTACTCCTCCGACCCTGTCCTTGGTTCCGCCTCGCTTTCTATATCCAAGTAAGTTACAAGATCGCCTGAGGGTGTACCACGATTTGCTCCCCAACACGTTGGCACTGTGGAATCCCCTTTAGCAAAAACCTGCTCCGCTCGCCCCATGGTGAGAGTACTTCCATCTGTGAACTCATGCTAACGTACCATGGTCTTTTTCTCCTTTCAAGCTTCCAGACTCTCCTTTCATTCATTATTATTATTTTTTCTCATCCCTTCGTCTCCAATTGACATCTTAAAAGCTGGATTCTCTTATATGCAAGAGGATTTCTTTTCCCGCAATGGATACAAGCCAGGCCCAACTGTAGGTCGCGCCCTACCAGAAGTCGCAGGATCCATCCTCGGTCTCAGCTTACACGACTTTCTTTTATATACAGGAGCCACCAAATTCAATCACCGCCATTCGCCTACCATCTGAACAATCATTATCGACGTGATACGCCTTCTAATACTGGACAGCCTGCTCATTTGGTCAACATGAATGGAAACGAGGTTCCAACCAAGACTGAGGGCATGGGAGCGCCCGCGCAGGCAATGTGGACGACACCAATCTCAGCGGGCATGCGACCGCGCCCTGCAACCATCCATGAAGGCTTCTCGTACTGCATGGAAGAGGGCTACGATGCACTGCCAGCCTGGGACTCCTCGACCCTGCCATTGCAACACCAACAGCAGCAGACACCAAGTGATACCGTGTCGTCCAGACCCATCTCTGTTCACCAAGAGTTTTATCCTCCAACAAGCATGGAGAACGGTGCGTTCTCCCCTCTCTTGACGCTGACGGTGGGCCTCAAAAAGGCTAACGAATTGTGTTATTTTACAGGCCAATGGATGCAGAAGCCCATCGAGGACAGCCTGGAGATGCATGGGATTGACGCCGAGATGGCCATTGGGCAGGCTTACACAACTGACGAAGCCATACCCATTCTCGATCTGCGTTACTCTGGACACCCTGTCGAAGGTGAATCCTTGAGCCTCGAGAATGGAGTGAATCCTCGACGTATGTCAGGCTCGTCGTTCACCATGTCCACCTCTGGTGGGCTCTCAGACATGACATCTTACGAGGACTTCTCAGCAGCTCTTTCCGACGCCCACTCGTTCACCTCGGACTACCCTCCGCCCTCGAACAGGAACTCTCTGATGTCCTCAACGCAGCTATCGCCAGTTGCTTCGCCGCGAATGACACCACAGAGCCGTTCGGAGCTCGTGAGGACACACAGCAGGGGGCGTGCGTCGCCATCGCCACGGCCAGGTATGCGATCTGCACCTTATAGTGTGGAAGGCGGGAGGAACAAGCGCTGGTCCACTGGATCTTATGGGACCATGTCTTCAACGAACCGACGACCCTCGCCCTTTGTCTACCAACACACACCTGAGGCTTACGGGCCACGCATGCCATCCAGGCATTCCTCGCCTACCATCCAGAATGGGCAGATGCCGCTGAACTTTGGCAACCTGCAGGCAACCCAGCAACAGCAACAATTCTTCATGGGACATGCTCATCCTGCTGCCTTCCAGCGCAACAGCATGCTGCTGCCCTCGCAGCTACCGTCGCAAGGCTTCCAACAACACGACCATCATCATCACCACTTCGAGACCCCACCACCACTGCTTTCTCATGGACTGTTCCGCATGCTCCAGAGCAATGCCGATCCCCACTCGCTACACGGCCACTACACCGATCTGTCGGACCCGCCAGACCTGTATGCTTCACTCCACGAAGAACAGATCCCACCCCCTCCCGAGGATATGAACCCCTCGGATCCAGATATGGTGCCTCATGAGCAGGAACTGCGGTTCGACGGTGATCTGTACACACCGAAGTGGGTGCGCGGGCACGGAAATAAGCGCGAGGGGTGGTGTGGCATTTGCAAGCCGGGGCGCTGGCTGGTGCTGAAGAACTCGGCCTTCTGGTACGACAAGAGCTTCACCCATGGCATCAGCGCCGCCACAGGCCAGCCGTTCCAGGAGCCACAGGAGACACGACGCATGGATGGGAACCCGGATGTGTGGGAAGGGCTCTGTGGAAGCTGCAATGATTGGATCGCCCTGGTCAGCTCAAAGAAAAAGGGCACGACCTGGTTCCGACATGCTTACAAGGTAAAGTGATGTTGTTCTTCTTGGCTCGTTGTCAGACGGCAGCTAACTCAGTCTGATGTAGTGCCACACTCACCCAAAGATCAAGGACGCACCCAAGCGCAGGAGGGAGAACAGCCATCAGCGGTTGGCGGCAGCAACCACAGCGAGGCCTAAGGTGGAGCCCGGCCAGCAACCACCGCCACCGTCACAACAACCTCCTCAGAACCCTATGACGCCTGTCACTCCCTCGTCGGCGACCAACGCCTCCACCACGCCCACACTGGCGCACACCCAGCCCACTTCTCACCCTCGGCAGCATCTGGAGCCTCCTCAACATCACTACCAACAGTCCATGGTGCCTCACCCGGCCCATGTACAGCACGGGGACGCCGGCATGATGGACGGTTTCTCCAACATGATCTAAAGACCATATCTTTTCCTCATACCAAGTTCCGCAGGCCGAACTTCATACACACGTCTCCATTTTCTTCCCACCAGTCAACGCTTCGATTTTTCCTCTACTACTTCACGCACGTAACGTCACGGCAACAACGGGAGGGCCTTCACGGGTTTTCAAAAGGATACCATAGAACGAACAACAGCATGGGGCTCGTTGGACTGAGAAACTTGTCTTCCAACTTTCTTCTGACCACTTCATTTTCCTTCTCTCAAGAAAACCCAACCCTCGGGCTGGCATTTCTTCACCAAATGTTCCGACCGCAATCAAACGACTCCTTACTTTTCCTTGTCAAGGTCTTTTTTCTTCTTGTTCCTGTTTTTGTTCTTGTCTGTTTTTCTGTCTGCATGCGATATCCCACAGCCTGTCATTTACGGAGGATGATGAAATAGATCGTTACGAAGTTGATGAGGATGCATAAGGGGATTGAACGATTTGAGAACCTCCCCCATCCCACTTGTTTGAATTCTCATACCCCCCTTGTCTCTTGTTTTTGCCTCTTTTTCTCTTCCTTTTCTTCTTCTTCTTCTTCTTCTGCTTTCCCCTTTTCTCCCTTCTATCCTATCGTTCATCCCATTTTGCACGACTTTTTCTTCTTCGATCTTCATGTTCATATTTTGGCTATCTTTTTTGCTTTCCTCCTGTGGTACATTTGCCCCCCTCCCCTCTTGCTTTGTCTTGAATTCCCCTAGCTAGGTAGTCTAGTTGTAGATAGCTCTTGGAAATATGGGAGTAAGCAAGGCGCAGAAGAAAAGAAAAAACGCAATGGCGGTCTGGCTTTGAAAGCTGCATTTGTTTTTTTGTTCTTGTTTCTTGGTTTTTCCCCGTGCTCCTTTTTTTTTTGGTTTTTTTTTTTTTGGCATCGATCAAGGAAGAGGAGGATACCCCAAACTGGCAAAGATGGGAAGGTAGCACAGCAAGAACGATTCCTTCTGGTGTGCGATCGGATACAAAAATGAGACCAGAGCTTTTTGTCTGTGACAAAATTGAACAAGTAACAACGACAACAAAAAACGTTCATTGTATTCACCTCGTGATTCTTTCATTGCTATGTAGCCTCTACTCGGTAACTTGGCTTTTTGGAAAGTGCTTGTGGTGTTACTCGCCATCACCCAGAGATGATGTCTGGTGATAGCCGTGCGATCTCTTGGGGAAATCGTAGCTGCTGTGCCGACCGTGTTTTCAAACCTTTTCAGACCTCCATTTGACCATCACCACCACCACCAAAGGGCTCACCCGACCGCAATCAACAGCGCGCAACCCGCTTACAAGGTGGGAGGGGGCACGAGTCATACCATCCGAGGCAAGACCGAAGAAACAGGGCAGGTGAATGGATGCACACATAGCAAGGTCGAAATCGCGCGGCATGAGGAAACTTGCTCGTCATCTTTCTCTCTCTTCCATATTACCAAAGATCGCCAGACAGCCCGCCGTATAGGGAAACGAAAACGAATAATGAGCAAGCTAACTCCAACACAGCGGCGCAGGCCCGGCGTTTCAGTGTACCGAAACTCCCTGGCCACCTCCTATCCGGAGCTCTACAAGGGAAGTGGGGGGGGGGGGAGGGGAAAGGCCTGTCCCCCAGGGCTGACCCCCGCGAAGGGGCTATGGTATAATATGACAGAATAACTTCAAGAAATTTGGGAATGCGGCAGGACCAGCTCAGCCTCGCGGCGAGAGCAAGCACGCAGTGCTGGCGGTCAATATATCCTGGAATGAAGGGGGGAGGGAGGGGCAAGGCTAGCCTGGTAACGATGGGCAAGGGATAGAGGTCAAAAGTCAGATAGACGGCGACAAACTTTACAGGACAGGAGAACTCAAAAGGGGTTTACAGGTCGTTCCGAAAATTGAGTCCATCGTCGCGTACACATGTGTGTCTTTCTTTGACCTTTTGGTTTGGCGCGCTTCATCTCATCTTTTCTAACGTTGAGATTCGTCTTGAGTTTGATGCGACTTGGGTAACAACAGCAACGCTACACAACACAATCGGGGTCAGCTCTTTGTCAGCCTCGTCCAATAGACGGGCGTTCGGCCGGCCACTGCTGCTGGGGCCCTATTTCAACACCTGCGACGTGGGGCTCTTGGCTGGAGTCGAGTCTCACTCCATCCCCATGTTTGGAACTTAACAGAGAACGCCTCTAGGTTGGCCCGAAAGATAGACGATCAATGCCACGGACGCCCACCGGCTTCGTTGGTGTGCCGCCTTCGCGATACTCTCCGAAACTGGCTAGACGGGACAACAATTTTCCCCCGGAACAGCACCGAAGGGAGAGTTGAGCGCCGAGGGGTAAGGTTAGAGAGAGTGCCCCGCGTCCCAAATGGCCTCGACCAAATCCACAAACACCTGGAACCGGATCGTGAGGCTCCATGGCATGTTAATGGGTAGCTCAGCGACGCAAATCTGAGCTCAATCTAGTCTCGAAGGAGAGTGTACCAAGGGGAAATTGCTTCTCGTCTTAGTAGCATCGGCAAACCCGGCATCAATTCGATATGGACTGTATAGGTGCCGACGAAGGCACGCGAGGAACCGGGGGCGCACTGACGACGCCTTGGCGGGGGACTGCTGCTTGGCTGATCAGGTCATTCTTAACCACCAGAACTGGACATAAGACAACCCTTCCTAGACCAAGGCTCTCGATCTTTACTATCGTCGACCTCGATAACAACTTCTGATCAGGGCCAGTGCCTGTTTGTCCACGCACCACGACAACGTAGTATGTAGGGCTGGCCTCCAATCGTCCCATCTCTCAACTGCAACTTCATGCGAGGGCTGCAGCTTATCTGCCGTACCATTCCCGTGTGCCAGTGTGGTGTCCTCCTGGTGCTGGAACCGAGATGGACCTGGTAGCATGCGTTTGGACACTGCTTGGCGGTCTGATCCTGGAGATGAGTCAAACTAATATGTGTGAAGATGAGCCACGAACCGTTCTAGGAAACGAGTTGCGCGGTTGGTGAGGGTTGATCCTCGCGGGCAGCTCGACGAAAGCATTTTGCAACATTGCAGCTCCGGACCTGACCGACACGCGCGGGGAAGGAATCGATCTCCTGATATTATGATTGCCGAGGTGAAGAATGACGAGACAGCTTTAGTGAGCAGACAGAGAAAGAGGTATATTCCCTCAGCTGAAGAGCGTATCTGTTTAGGTATGGCCTTGTGGGGGTTTTTTTGGTGGTGAGGGGGGAAGGTTTGGGTTGGCTCCCATCAAATTAGGCAGCCCGGCCAATCATGGGCAGGAGCAGGGGTGTCGACTCCCCTCCACACTGCAACTCACCTTTCCCATCAAGATTATACCATAGTACGGAAAGTACGTACGTACTTGGCACCTGCCACAGTTTCCTCAGCTGCTCTTGCCGCGCACTCGTTATCACGACATCCAGCCCTGTCTTGGGACACCGATACCTTGTTGGGAATTTGCATCAAGATACCTCAAAGCCACTTTTCTATTCCCACCTGCCCGATCTGCCGATTCCTTCCGCTCGCATGTACGAAGTGATGTTGCTTTGATACCGCTAATGACAGTCACATACTAACATTTATTTATTGGTTTTTTTTTAACCTTCCAAACGTGCTTCATTTGCAGCCCTGACCAGTGTTTACTTCACAAGCCATGCAAGGTCTTGCTCCTGACGAGGGAAGAACATCCAAGCAGCCGTATCTATCATCTATCAATAGTCTGTTGCAGGTCGGAAATTGTCTCCCCCCACACAAGCAGTAGCAAGCAAGGTCACAGGCTGATCGAAAGGACCGACGTGACGCCTCCAGCTAACTGCAGCAACCCACACGTCATCCCATCCCATCCCCCGGCCACTGGCGCTGATATCCAATGCAAGCACTTTAGCACAGGCTGCGAGGAGGTGGGGCCGGGGCCTCCAGGAAGGGGGGGGGGGCCGCAGCCTGGCGTGCATGCATGATATGCGCTGCATGTGGTGTGTGGTTGCGTGCCTGAGGAGCAGCTAGAAGGAGGGAGGAGGTCTCACCACTTGGGCAAGAGGCGGCCGCCCACAGGTTTGGTCCTACAGGCTGACGCAGGAACCTGCAGGAGGTTCAATCTCGTCTGGCCTGCCTCATTGGCACTTCTCTTACCGCCAGAGCAACAAACCTACAGGAGGCTTGCAAGTTGTGTGTGCTTCGGCCCTGCACCACGAGTCCCACCCCTCCGGCGTGCATCTCCTCCTCCCTGTGCAGCTATCGTCATCCGCTGCACGCTGGTACACGATACTGTGCTCAGAGACTGTGGACACCAGACTGCCAATCATTTTTCTCATGGCGGTTCCTACTACGTAACAAGAGAAGCAGACCCCAGAGTCTGTTAGGTCGCAGTCACCAGTTGTACTCAAGTCGTTGATCCTCTCACGTCACCACTACTGAGCGCACATTATAATGGACCATCATGATGATCGACTTGCTTTTGGGCCGACGTGAACTGAGAGGCTTTGCGCCAGAGAGTAATACCATAACCTCGGCAGCTGCAATATAAGGCGACCAGATCGGCATGGTACACCCAGAGCCTTCAGAGGAGGGCCGTCGCACCCTAATGTGGCCTCGATATATATCAATTAATCATGTTGCTACAGTGTCCAACCTTGACAAAGAGCACGACGTCACGGTTCAGCCCTCCCGTATCCTTCCAGACTTTCAGCTCTCAGATACACTCTCAATGAAATTGGGTCCCTTCTGGGCCTAGGGCATCCTCAAAATTGAACAGCGACCGAGTTCATCCAGCCTCTTTGTGTGGTTCTATGCACCGATGGACGATCTTTGGAGCCTGCTTTTTTGTGCAGGGAGGCAGTCTAGGCTCTACTGCTCATCCTGCAGGCTGTAGGCTGTGGTAGCGGAGTGCACTTAGGGTTGACTCACATTTGTGCAGTAGCTCCGCCGGGTTGGTTGCCCTCCGCTAGGGTGCCAGAACGAAAAAGCTGGCACGCTGGGAAAGTGTGTGCCAGAGGAAGGTCCTCTTCTTCATGTCTACTGCTTGTAGCACCTGTGCTGCCTGTGCCTTGCTCCAAACAGGGGCTCTGGCCGACTAGTATTGCATACGATGCTTGTCTGATCTGCAGTATACGAGCGTCGAGCACCGCCCAAGCCTTCCCTGGACAGGGCCTGCCCCACTGGGGCCGTCCTTGGAAGGGCACGGCGAAACTACCGACCCAACCGTGTCATCGTGTCTTTTAACGCCATTCGGGGGGGGAGGGGCACAAATTTCTGGGGGAGAGGAAAGAGGGGGCCACTCTTCCATCAGAGCCTGCTAGCTCTCTCGAGGGAGGGGAGGCACGTATGAGGGGGGTCTATTTGACAGCTGTTCAGCACAACGGGCAACAATTTCTCAGTGTGAACCATGGGGCAAGTCTAGCTCTGGGCTGTGGCCTGTCTATCTGTACCTGGCAGTGTCTGGCGCTAAAGGCCGGTATGCAAGTAATGTCCGGGAGAACCAACGTGGCCCAGGCTCGACAGGTCCATCCATTCCTCTGCGTCCCTGTCGACCTTGGTTTTCCAGAGCTACAAAGTACGAAGGGACACACCAATGGACACCGGCGTGTGCCCTCGATAAGTGGCCGGCCGTACAGAGTTTCAACATACTTCTTCTCGACCCAGCCGCCAGGCTCCTGGGACGCCCTCATGCATGGCCTTGTAGGGGAACTTTCGATTACTTATTTCCAGTGTACCTCACGAAGGAAGCTTCCTACGACGACGTCGTGAGGCCGACCGCTTATTGCTTTTTCGACCTGCAGCTGCACACTCGCTTGTTTAGCCGCCCCCACACTGAACAGTACAGTACATCGCGTGCTGTCGTGCTAGGTACGTGCTGACTGCTGTTGTACGTTACAAGCCCCCCCCCCCCCAACACACTCCTCCCTCACTCGCCTACAAGCTTGCCTTCTTCCGTTGGTGTGCCTGTTTTGTGGTACACTCTGTCAGACCTGGCCGGGAGCCTCGAGGCCACACACACATATACACACGAGACAAAGAGATGGAGAGATCTCTTTTCTCTCTGTGTTGGTGTTCCGTTGTTCGCCTGTGCAGAGACAGTGCTTGTCTGGACCGGCGCTTCGGATCATAACTCAAATTTACGTCGTACGGAGTCTCCACCGACATGTTACCTGCACAGTCTGTCATCCTGCTCACGGACTCTGTCAAAAAATTTCATGCTGGAACCTGAGCCCAGAAACAACTCTAGCGATCCCGCCAGCCCCTTCACCCAGCCCCAGGATTGGTCTAAACCCGCTGGAGCTGCTCTGTTGGAACGGCAATGCACAGTCTGAGTTTGGAGTCTCCCGACACACACACGACCCTCAATGACGATTTTCTTGACTGTCTTAGCCTTCCTTTTTTCTCTTTTTTCTCTTGCTGTTCGTGCTGGATTGATACCTGGGATCTCCTGGGCCGTTCTTTGAAAATTTTCTTCCGATCTCTTTTCTTTCTTTCTTCTTTCTACCTCTCCGTCTTGACTGTCCAAACTTAATGAGTTATGGTCGATTGGGAACTATTGGACTGACCTGGAGACTTGAGAGCTCTCAAGCCTTGCAGCAGCAATCCAGAGATCTCCAACACCACCATCATTTCATGACCACTCCTTGATCTTCTTTACTTGGCTACGACATCTCATAAGGACGACTTCAATAATGAGGGATGAATGATACACGGCAATAAAGCAGCCTTTTGTCTGAAACACAACACAAGGTATCGAACTTGATTCCTCCAATACTATCCATCATATCCGGGAAACCACGTCAACCCAACCCCCCCCTTCTACGGATACCGTTTGCTCGGCCAAACGAGGGCATAAGGCCGGACAAAACCACCATTCGTCCAGCTCTCTTTTTCTCTCTCCAGTTGTTCTGCTGCACCGGATTGTAATGCACTCCAGAAACTACGAGGGCACAGGATCACATCCAAAGCTGCTATGAGTGTTTGCGACCAGCAGCAGGCAGCAACCAGGTAAGGCGTCAATCCTCCACTCACTCACAGATCTCGTTGCCCCCCCCTTCCCTCATGGGGGGGGGGGGGAGGGAGAGAGTGCCGTCGCCTTTGCCGCCGCCTAGACCATCCCTCTCTGTCCATCCCCGCAATCTGCTGACGTCTTTTTTTGTTCTCTGCTTGCCTAGCTTTGGTGATCCAAACGCTCGGCCGCCAACCCCACAGCGAACGCCGACGGCCGTCTCTCCGAGTCCACTTCTCCAGACTCCCAAGCAGCAGCTGGCTAGTCATCACTTTGACGAGACCTCTGGCCGAACACCCCGGTTCGCCGAAGAGTACTCTGTCTTCAACTCCACCCCAGGAAACTTTCGGAGCATCTCCTCACCCGGGAGCGACGCATCCAACCTCGACTTTGTGCCCGTGAGTCCTGTGGTGGCTCCGTCGACGACGGGTAGGAAACGGCCGCTGTCTGCCCAGGTGGTTGCCGTCGAGGTTGCAGCCCATGCGAATCATTTCACGGCCGACCCTGCCACCCTCGCTCCGGTTGATCCTGCCCGGCGACTTCCTTCGTCGTCCTCTGAGCCGTTGGCATTCTCGCACAACAAAGACGCCGCAGGTGCCGACCTGAGCAGTGCGACCAAGGTATTGCGGGCGCAAGGACAACAGCCCAGGGCCCAGCAGCAGCAGCAGCACCAGCAGCAGCAAGGTCGGAGGTTGGCCAAGAAGCCTCGGAGAGCAAGTGTTTCTGGGACGCTTCCCAAGTCACCACCAGCTCCAGCGCAGGGACAACAGGGCCAGACTGCGACCCCCCCTCCCTCGTCCAGGGGTGGGCGCAAGCTCGCGCCCAAGCCCCAGATGGACAACATGCAGGCTCACGGTTTCTCACAACCAGAATTCTCAGGCGCACCGCAGCCGCCTCATCTAGACACTACCTTTGTAACGGGAAACCCGGATGATGTCTTCAGCTATCAGGTAGGGCCGGCCACCGCGCCGCCAATCACGGGCCCACGACCGTTCTGGGGACTAGACATGGACACCTCAGGTATGAACTCCGCGGGTACAATGGCCGTCGACGTGGATCTCTCGGCTGCTGGGGTGGACATTTTCCAGACAAGCACGACGCAGGATCATTACGACGCGCACGGGCAGATGAACTCGATGGACTGGGGAAGAGCAGAGCAGATGTTTCAGCAGCAGCAGCAGCAGCAGCAGGAAATGGTTGTCTCGGCAGATCAGCAAAACCAGTATCAACAGCGGTCGAGTGGCCAGAATGCCCAGCAGCATACCACACCCAGACGCCAGCGTGCTCTTGCACCGAAGACGGCAAGCATGTCGACTCCGGGCCTAAGCCAGCAATCTCCCAGCCAGAACTTTTTGGGCTCGTTCCAGATGATGGACAATCCGTTCAGCGCAAGTCCTGGCGGAGTTGACCCGGGTCTACTGTTCAGTCAGCCCACGACTTCGGCGCCATTAGACCATAGCGCAATTTCCATGTCCATGGACACCACAACCACATCACAACATCCTACTTCTTCAGCACCGGCGATCATGACTTCCGATTCCAACATCACGGAGACGCACCTGCGTGGGAATGACAACAGCAGTACTGCTGCCACAGGAGGCCAGGATGCAAGCAAAAGCCAACAGCGCAAGAAGCTCGGCCGTGCGCCTGCTATCTCTTCCACGAAGAAATCGGACGGCCGACCAAATCTGTCGCGAAGCTTCAGTGAGAGTGCGAGAGGCGGCAAGCGGACTGTGGGTGGTGGTCGAAATGCCCTTCCAGTCTTGGCCCCGGCCAGGCCTGTGACGAATCGCCAACCAAATGTTTCCTCCCAGACAGCAAACCAAGGCAGCAATAGTAGCCGTGCTCAGGCGGCTCCAGGAGGACGTCCAGGCGGGAGAAGCTCGCCGTTGAAGTCGTCGCACCATCACCGCCTGTCGAGCCTAACCTCCATCCCTGAAAACACTGCCAACCTCCCGCCCCGGCCGAGCAGTGCAAAACGAACATCTGTCAAGTTCGTCATTGACGAGAACGGCCGGGCGCATGCTGAGACGGTGATTGATGGCGAGGAAGAGGATGACGAACAACTAGAATTGGATCCGTTAGCTCCCAGTCGGCAGATTGACCCCCGAAACTTATGGGGTGGTTTTGTTCCTCTCCCGACCTCTTCGCCTGCCCCGGATGACTGTTCTTCTTCGGAGGATGACGAGCCCATCATCATTCCCAGCCGCCACTCATCTTTCGCCTTTCCCGACCCACGTAGAGGCTCCAACTCGGGCAACTCGAGGCCGCCGACAGCCAGCAGCATCTTCTCGCAACCCCGCATTCAGCGCCGCTCGTTCAGCGACCGGCCCTTAACAGCCTCCTTTCGGAAGGACGAAACAGACGCCATGGAGGTCGAGGCGCCACCCCCCTCCTCGCAGCCGCCACAACAACAGCGGCCCTCCACTGGTGGGAGCCTGAGTGACGCTGCGGCAGAACTGCGCAAGGTCATGCAGGCAGTCAACCCGAGGCGGTCGATCAGTGGACAACAGCCACCAGCGCTTGGCGGCGGAGGCAGGCAGCTGTTCCCGCCTGGTCCAAGAAGCAGCTCGTCGACTATCTCAGAGGCGAGTCTGCCAGGGGCATCGCCAACGCAGGGTAAGGAGCAGAGCCAGGTGCGGTGCGTGTGCAACAGGCCTGAGGCGGGCGAAGGGGCATTCTTGGTGAAGTGGTAAGTCCCCCCCCCTCCCCTTTCTCTCTCCGTCGTCCAGTCCCCTTTCCTCCTTTTATTTCATTTTAAAATTTGGGGCTTTCCACCTGGCCTTCTTTCTTTTTTCTTTTTTGAATTGATCCTCTCGCGCGACCCACCGTATTCTTTATGCACAATCTATTTGTTTACGCGTCTATGATTTGCCCTTATCCAAGCACCCTTATGCGCGTGGGGTCGAAACCTATCACGTCTGTGACAAAACAAACAAACAAACAAACAAGATCAACATTGCTGACCACCGCTCATCTCTTCTCTTTTCCTCCCACCCAATAGTCACTCGTGCGACTGCCTTCTCCATGGTCAATGCATCGACATGGCTACACCCCACGATGTGCCCCACGTGTACATCTGTGCATTCTGTGCCAACACACCCAACATGCGCGGTGGGAGGATGCGCCATACCGGACGGGCCAACGCTGGTGCTGCTGGACGTGGCGCCTCGTCCAAGATGGGCCCACCTGTGTCGAGCGGCGCCGCGGCAGCAGCGGCAGCAGCTGCTGCGTCGAGCCCGTTAGCGCACAAGAGTGGGCGGTCGTTTCGTTGAGACGACACGAGACGATGGCGGAAACCTTTTGGGCAGCTTGGCGATTGCCACATGTAGTATGCTCTATGCGTAAGATTGGCATTGGGAGAAGTCAAAGATAAAGAGACAAAAGCAAGAGGCATCGGGAGATGTTGTTATTGTGCTTGTACACTCACGTCCATGCGGAAATACCAATTAGCCGTGATGGAAAGGCGAAACGAGACGCGCCTTGGCTTGGTTGGTGCTAACGTCCTGAAAGGAAGCAAAACACGACGAAGAGCGCAGAAACAAACGAAGGATATATAATTGGAAAGCAAAGAGGGGGAAAGGAGGAGGAGGAGGGGAAGAAGAAGAACGACATCACAGCACCCGAGATACCCCCTTGAAAAGCATCTGCCCCCCCTCCCACCCCCCCTAACCAACTCCCCAAAAATCAAGATTGCTAGCTACCGCACAACGAGACCTCTTTCACCGGCGTTGAGAGGTTCACATCTAGAACATATCAGCCTTGAAAACTTGCTATATATAACTGGCCTTACTGACTTGTTTCTGATCATGATCACTTCTCTTTAGAGTATGTTGAGTCCTGCTGCACATGACAAGTGAGTGTGGTGTGTCTGGTGAGATGAGATGTGAAGTGTTCTTTTCTCTCTCTCTCTCTCTCTCTCTCTCTCTCTCTCTCTCTCTCTCTCTCTCTCTCTCTCTCTCTCTCCCCCCCCCCTCCCCTCCTTCCGAGGAAAAGGTTTGGGTAGGCTTGGAGATGAGCACCTGACTGAGTGTACATACTCATAACTTTGATGATGTGCCTTTCGTCTTGAACCGTGCCTCTGAAAGAACGCTGTCCTACTGGAACCCATACTTTATTTTTTGATAGAACATATCAGTGAGGAGTTGATGAGGATCGTGTGAATAAAAAAAGAACAAGAAGTGCAAGATAGTTGATGGTTGTGCCTTACCAACTCTTTCGTTACGTGGCATGTGTGTATTCACTGCTCTGAAGCAAATCTATAGAGGGGTATTTCCATGTCTAAAACCAATACCCAAGCGCACTTCCCCGCCCCGTTGAGACCTGTCGAGCCTCTCAGTGATGCAGCCAACCTTTCCTTGTTCTATGACACGATGCAGGCTCTCTTTCACTTTCACTCTCACACATACACATGTATATATACACATCATGCTCTTACCTCCCCAAGATTTTTCAACTCTCACCCAGCGCACCCCCAAAGAGATCATCATACTTCCCCCGAGCCTTACTCGGCCGCCGTAAGGGCTCCAGCCCAAAGATGTCTTCGGACGTGAAGCCTTTCCCACCACCAGCCGCGACGCTCTCGGCGTCACCTGCAACGACCTCGCCAAACAGGAACGCGTTGCTCGGCCTCTTTGTGCTGCGGTGCGTGCCGGTGGCGGAAGCAGTTGCGCCGGCGGCGGCGGCTGAAGAGGTGACGGACACTGGCGAGGTCCCAGACTTGGGGGTGGTCTCGTCGGGCTCAAGCATCAGGGAGAAGGACGACTGGGCGAAGGTCGAGTGCGTGGGGATCGTTGTGGGTCGGCGCGGGGAGATGGAGTCGGGAGGCCTGGAGGCCGGGGACAGAGGCGAGGCTTCCATGCCCTCCATCGTCGTCGTCGCCGTCGTCGTCGTCGTAACGGGTGAGCTCATCTTGGGCGTGGTGGCGCCAGCAGCTTCGGAGTCCGTCATGATCTCGTCTTCTGCTATCATCAGACTGGGCGAGGTCTCCTTGTTGATATTGCCTGACGCCAGCAGCGCTGCTGGTTCGGAGAGAACATCTGGCACGGCGTCTTCGATTATGACGTGAGGGGTGTTGACTTCGCCGTCTCGCAGAAGAGGCGGCGCGGGAGGAGGAGAGTCCAGGCCGAGATCGAGTGAGGAATCCTCTAGGTGAATTTTGACGAACTGCGCTTTGGCGGCAGCCATCTCTACGGCCTCGAGATTCTTGTCCTTGTCGTCCTCTAGGTTGGCGGCCGCCAGCGTCTTTAGGCTGGTGATGGCCTCATCCAGGAGCATGGCCAGCTGCTTGTTCCGCTGCTCGAGCAACATAGCTGTGGGGGCCTGCAGGCTCCCAGGGGACGCAAGCACGCCGTTGGCGAAGAGACCTTGTTGGCCTGTGATGGGCGTGTCGGCGCGAGAGTTGTTACCGCTCGAGACCCGGAGATCCTGCATATTCCGTCTGATCTCGCCCATGGCATCACGGACGGCCTGGTTGATACCCAGCTTCTCGCCGCGCTCGATGACATTCTTTGCTGCGCCCTGGAAGAGAGCCTCGACACCGCCGCGCTGCGAGATGAAGCGTGCAGGTGAGGAGAGGGGCGACCGTGCGCCTTGCGCCCTGCTCCTGAGTGAGAGGCCCGGGAATTTAGACTCAGGCGTGGAAGGCCTCTGCTCTGCGACTGGTGAGGGCATTTTTCCGGTGTACTTCATGATAATGCTGGAGCCACCTGGAGTGTTGTAGTGGTCTCTGAGGTAGAGCGCGTCATCTACAAAGGTGTGCGGGCCGTGGGGCTGTTCAGGGGCCGGATACTTGAGCAGCAGCTGCAGGGCACTTGTGTAGTCCGCCTCGAGTACTATTTACAATATATGTCAGGACATCTCATCTGTCTCATTCTTGGCGTTGGTCCAGGCGCAACTTACAAGTCCAGCGAATCCTGATCAACATGGCAACGCATACTAGGTCTATTAATTCCAGTGTTGGGTCATACGCAAATATGGTATCCCAAAGAACAAGCAGCTGCTCAAATGGGAATTCCCTTCCGAACAATAGACGGATCCACCGACTGCACGTTTTCGGTTTCGTTAGCCCATCACGTCTGCCATGGAAAGGGAAGGACGGCGGAAGGGAGACCTACATCAGGAAGATTTGAGGCAAAACCTCGATGACCTTGAGATGGTTCGCCAGCTCCGGGTCGACGCTCATGAGAGCAATCTCATGAATCTGCTTGCTCTTCTCGACGATAGCACTCTGTTCTGAGGACAGGGGGCCACTGGCATCCACACTGATCTCATAAAAGGGCTTTGTCTGCTCCATCAGCTTCGAGAAGAGGGCAAAGGTGTCGTGCTCAATAAAGTACGAGTCGAGCATCTCGACCATGGCGGGATCGGCCACAGCATCACCGATGGTGTCACGATTGATGGCGTCCTCGTTCACAACGTAGAGGAGAGGCGCGAGCAGCTCGTGCATGCCCTGCCTATAGCCTCCCACGTCGGGATTCAGCTTGACCCATATGAAGAGGATGTCCAAGATGAGGGTTTGGGTGGTCTCGAGATGGTAGAAGGGCTCATCTGGCAGGCGCTGGACATCCTGCAGGATCTCGCTGCGGATGAGCTCATCCTGCCGAGATGCCGTCCATGGTGACTATATGGGCAGTATTCAGTAATTTGCTCACCAGGAATGCATGTCATGTGGATGAGTTGAGTTGGTTTGAAGGAGCGGCCAGGGAGGAGGGGCAGACATACATCAGGGTCGTCCGCGAGGGGGTCCAGAGATTGTTCTGTGAGAAGCTCTGGATGCTTGATGTACTTGAGATAGTGTTCCCTGAGTGTGCTATATGTGTTCCTGTTCTCAAGAAGGACATGAGACCAGGTAGCAGCACTAGCATCTTTGAAAAGCAGGAAGGCCTATCATTTTTGTGTGAGCTGATGAGTCTTTGCACGCGTCACACCAAGACAGTCTATAAGAAGAAGAGGGAAGAAGGAGTGGGGGGGGGGGGGATCTCACCTTCCAACAGACAGATCGACACCCTGCCACACAGGGACTCCCGGGTCCGTTGAATTTCACAGAGCGTTGCAAGTCCTCAAAGTTGGTGCTCTGCTTGAGCGTCTCCTCCCATCGCGCCCTACAGAAGAAGAGAAAAGTCAGGTCAGTGACTGCGCGCACCTGGATGCGGCTATTTGAGAGGAGATTCCCTACTTGGAATCATCCAGGGTCCTCATCGCGATGACGACGTAGCACGTAGTAGCCGATCAGGATCGTAAAGAGAGGATTCGTTCGTCTGTAATGAGAATGTGGATACGAGATTCGATTCGTTCCCAAGCCAACATACGACGACGACAACGACCGCCGACGACGCCGACGACTGATGAGCAAATCTATGGATGATTAGTCTCTATAAAGATGTAACCAGAAAGAACTGCAGAGAGATGAGTTATGTGGAGCATGCAGGATATATCACAACGACCCTGGCCAGGCTGCCAAGAGGTGAGTTTCACGACGACAGCATGTCGTCTCTAAAGATTCGCGGTTGACCACCGACGCGCATTAAACGCCCTAAGCCCAAAGACGCGGCTTTCACCTCCCGCCCAGCCGCTGGATCAACTACAGCCACTACAGGACAATGCACAGGCCAGAGCCTAGGCGGACCTGACTTTTTCAGCGGGACGTTCCCACTGGCTGGAGGGGCTCCAGGGGGTCCGGTGTTGGGGCGGGCCAGAACCAGTGCTGGGCCCGACTCAGCGGATTCCTGTCACCGACCCTGGTCGACTTGAATTATTGCGTAGTAATCCTTACAGGTCGTATAGCATGGTTAGGCATGTCAGGACCCCCACCCTGTTACTATGTATGGTGGCGTTGGAGCTGCTGTGCCGTGGGCGGGCAGCTAGAATGTACTATAGTAGACTTGGGGGGATGATCACCACCGTTCCTGTCCTGGGGATCTCGCCCTCACCTTTTCTGGGAAGTATCCTTCATCTTCGTCTGCCTCCAATTCCTTCAACCCCCCCCCCCAACTCACACTACACCTATTCCTCGCATACACACACAGAGAGAATAACGGAGTTACGCGTCTGTAATTCCATGCCTACGCCTCAGGGCTGCATGCATGCATTGAAACGATATTACCGATCCAAACATGTTTCCCTGCCATAAACTTCCGCCAACACCGACATTCCTCGTCCCATCCCAACTTTAGGTGTTATCGCTCCCTTGACCGTATAGTCAATCTTGTAGCCACCTCTTCTATTTTTTTTCTCCTTCTTTCTCGCTCTCCTTACCTTCGCGACTCTCTCACGAATTATCTTAGTCGCGCTGAAGGCAAAGCCCGTCCACGAACATGTCGGCCGACCTTTTCGCTGAGTTCGCCGGGCTCAACTCGAACAGTCCTCGGCCCAGCCACGCCGCCCAGTCGCAATCGCAGCCGAAGCTTGCAACGAACACAACGACTGATCCGTTTGCGTTCCTGTTCAGTACGGCCGGCCAGACGACATCCCCACTCGCTTATCACACTCCGACGCAGCCATGGCCGTCAATACAACCGCAGCAGCAGCAGCAGCAGCAGCAACAACAACAACAATTACAAAATGGAGGCAAAGGTTGGGGAAATCTGGGGCCCATCCAGGCGAGCCCCGCCGTGGCGCAACAGCCATTCCAGTCGCTGGGAGGAGGGAGTGGTGGAGGAACAGCAGGAGGAGCAGAAGAAGTAGGTGATGATGATGACTTTGGTTGGGGAGACTTCATGGAGGCTCCATCCACGACCTCGACAAAGCCTCCGCCACTAGCCCTTAGCAGCAGCCTGGCGAGCCCAACAGCACAGCCAAAATCCGCTCCGGTGCCTCTCGTGCGCAATCGTATACTTCGGGCAGACACGATGGACCTGATGTCAAATAACTTGGTGGGACTGGCTGTTGAAAAGACGCCAGAGCCCTGGCAAGGCAGACCATCGTGGGAGACGCCGACGACAACCACCACCAACACCACAACCACGACGAGGACTACGCCGGCTACAAAATCCCCAGAATCCCTGGCATCCCCCCAACTGCCGAAAGCGGTTCAGCCAACCCCCAAGATCTCGATACCAAAACCCAATCCCGCCAATTCGGATGTTCTCTTCGACGCTGACGATTTTGGTGGGGTCCCACCACCAGAAGACGAGGACGACGACGATTTTGGCGACTTTGAGACTGTAGATACGAGTCCGGCGCCCATGCAAGCAGCTGCTCCGGTGCAGCCCGCACTGGCTGACCTGATTTCTATCGACTTCGGCGCACCAAGCCCTCGACCGTCGTTGTCTCATGTCTCTACTACAACGTCTATGACCTCGCAGACACGGAAACAACCTCCAACACCGCTACAGTCCTCTTTGAACCTGACCACCCCATCCCTGAATCCCAGCCCCCTTTACCCTCAGGCTCCGAGGTCACCATCATTCTCGGATCGAAACCCTTTCCCTGGACTGGCCGTGACGACACCAATATCTGGGTCTTTCCCCGCGGATCTCAAGGATGATGACAAAGAGAAATCGCCTACGCCTGTCACCGCATGGCCCGGGGCGCAGTCTCCAACAGACAAGGACGATTGGGACGCATTCGCCGACTTTCCACCTGATGCCTCGACTGGCACACCAGCAGACCCCTCAGCAGTCTCGTCAAGTTGGGACTGGGATGCAGTCGATACACCGCAGCCTGCACCACCCCGACGGACATCCAAGACCAGCAGCCAGCGCAAGACCTCAGTGCACGAAGAGGTCATCGGACCCCCACCCACCAATGTCCCACCACCGTCTATTCTGCTCTCGATCTTCCCTGAACTCCTCGAGGAGGCCGACACAAGGCTGTACAAGCCGACAGCCAACCAGACGCCTGCTGTGAAGTCGCGCGTATACGCTGACCCGGCGACGCTCGACTATCTAAGGGGCTATCTCGTCCTGTCCACTGTCGCAGCGCGTGTCCTCGCTGGCCGTAAGCACCGCTGGCACCGCGACAAGTTCCTCTCGCAGGGCATGTCCATCTCTGCCGCCGGATCCAAGGGTGGTATGAAGCTGGCGGGGATCGACAAGACCCAGGCGGCCCGTGAGGACCGTGAGGCCGCAGACGTGGTCGGCGTGTGGCGCGACCACATCGGTAAGCTGAAGAGCGCCGTGGCTGCTGCCAACATCGGCCTCCAGAAGCAGGTGGTCAAGCTGGAACCGCTCAAGGTGCCCGAGATCAACGACCACATGGCCGTCACCACGGCCAAAGTGGTGCCCACGGCCCCAAAGGCATGTTGCGTCTGCGGCCTGAAGCGAGATGAGAGGGTCAAGGGGGTGGACTTTGACGTCGAGGATAGCTTTGGCGAGTGGTGGGTCGAGCATTGGGGCCACAGGGCCTGTCGGAATTTCTGGCTGGGCAACGAGGAGAGGCTAAGATCGCGGTAGGACGGCATGATTTTGGTGGTCACGTGTCTCCCCATGGTGATCTGTCATGAGAACTATACATTTTCCACAGGTGGCATCCAGCAGGGCGTTCCAGAACTTGCCGTTGTTCAGGCTTCTGACTTCTTACGTACATAATCTACTGGGAGAACGGCTGCCAGCGTCGAGGAGCTGCAATCACTTGCGATATCCCGGGACGTGCTGGATGGTCGGCGCTGGATCCGAGTTACTGTCGGCAGCAGAAGCAATACTTCGCTTCCCATAACCTTCACAGCATGCAGAATCCCTATTCGTCCAGCTTTGGACGTACTAGGGCAAGATGATGCACACAAGCGCCCCTGGTGTCTCGTGCCGGGCGCCTCGAGCTGCAGCAGGGTGGCAGTGAGAGCGAATTGCGGCCCGTGGGCGTCGTGGTCCGGTGCATGGAGAAGGGCATGTGCACCGCATCTGCCCAATTACCTAATACCAGGGGTTTCATTCGGTTTTCCCCTTTCGGAATGCATGATCAAATGATCGACCGGTCCGCGAGGGATTTCAAGACGCTCCGGTGTGTCTCTGGCTGTATGAGACACCCCCGTTGCCGGCGTGCGGTACTTTTCTCTCTATACAAAACCTACACACAGATGCGGGATCTGTGTCGCCCTGAGAGAATGGTACACACATAGTAGTACATCTCAGTCAGTCAGAGCGGTCGTCGCCTGGGCCATTGGACCTTGGACTGAGCGACAGAGTTGTGTAGGCGAGGTTGGCTATGGCTCTACTAAAGGCTGGGGTCCCCCAGCACCTAATTTCCAGTGCCGTTTTAGTATGTATACGTTGAGATTCATCGCAGAACAGAGAGCACCACTCATAAATCTCTGAATAATGATAAAACATAGTCTGTTAGAAGAATACAAAACAACATTCCAACGCAGACTGTTTACTCCTTCTCTGGTCCTCCGATCTACGGGAAGTGGTACACATCAACAAGACCAACTAGCTGTAGCTGGAGGAAGGAGTCCCCGGCCTATGTAGAGAGTCCGGGCCTGAGAAATTAAAGCCTTACAACACAATTCAGGCTGTGGCGGACCTGCTTGATGGCCAGAAGGGCTGGCAGCATCGTACAAGAAAGAGGTGGACAAATCTGAAGCCCAGTTTATTCCCCAGACCTCCCAGAGCAATATTTGTGCATCTTGTGGAGGTGCATGCAGACGATGTTTTACAGAAAGTTTCAGTGACCAGAAATCCAGAACAGGCAGAGCAAGTAGGTTCGTGAGAGGTAGTTTAAGCCTTGGTAGTTCTCACACTATATGTCTACTAATAGATTTCCAAGACGAAGACAAACATTGACGACGCATTTAGTCGTTTTCCTCTACTTCTATGCATGGGATGCAACATCCTGTTTTGAGGTTGAGGAGGCTCGGAGATGTGAAGAGCTACTCAGGGCTGTTGTGTCAAGCTACTGTCATAGTTTAGTACGCTCTCCAGTACAATACATACTGCAGGCAAGGGGCAGGGACAAGGTCATCCGGGACAAGCAACCGGCCTAGTTTCGAACACAACAATCTTCAAAAAAAGAGTAGACAGTACCGTCATAGTGCGGCAAAACTAGCAGACGCTAAAAGTACTGAGTACTTTTTTGGACGTTCCAGATGACCCCCTCCCACTGCCACCCTCTCCCTAGCAGAACACTGGTAGGGGGAGTGCAACTGCCATTCCCATGAATGCCCACCTGCCCACTGCCCATACGCGGTACAGACAAATTGGGATGCGTGTGGTGCTTCCTGCCGTCCTGTCGGTCTCTGGTCGCGTCGAAACATCCCCATCCATCCCGCCATTTCCATCCGCCCTCTTCTTCTTTTTTTCCTCCTCTTCCTTCTACTCCCCTTCCTCTCACTCATCTCTCCTGTCTCGTCTCCATCACAAAACCCTCCTCACCCCTCGACTCTCTCAACCTTCTCCATCCTCTCTCAGCTCAACCCCTCCACTGATCCTCTCCCCCTCTTCCTTCTCCGCCCACCTTCAGACCATCCCACCCTTTTTTGCACGCCATCTCTCGCGCAGTCACCAGACAAGGCACTTCGCGCGTTTGCTCGACCTGCATCGCCTTCCAGCAGCCATTCTTGACTGATCCGGTCGTAAAACCCAACCCCAAACCTCCCACTTCCCATCACACTTCAACCCTAGCTGTTCAACATTCAGGGTTCGCCACAGAACATTTAGAAATCTCTGGTCTAGCAAAGGTACGACGCAGCACGCATCTTATCAGAGCCTATCTTCCCCGCTCCAAGCAAGGGACCTTTGGCCTGTCCCCACGCGAACCTCACCCACCAAAGCAGCCTCTGCCCCGCCGCAAACCCTTCCCCTGCACCTCTGAAGGTGCGCCAGTGCACCTGCCCGCCCGCCCCACCCAATCAACATCGCGCCCCCCCCCCCCCCAGCCTACAGAGCTTTCTTGCCATGCACCGCGCACCCTCTTTGATTCTAGTCCTCCATGCGCACAATTGACTCTGGCACGCCCCTGACCATCCCTTCACCCTTCGCTCCTCCTCTTCCGCTTCCTCCTCGTCGCTGTGATTCTCGTGTCTTCTCTTCTATTCCTCAAAACTTCCGAGTCGCATCACCTTTACGCGACTACAGTCGTCAACCGCGTGGCGTCTACAACGAAGCTAACAAATGCGTCACCAGTTCTGAGGCGACTTTCACCCCACCCCTCGCGCAACCTTTATTTGACTCTCCCGACCGCAGCCACCTCATTTGCGCGCATTTCTCATTACATTCCAACACTCCTCTACACGACCCCTACATCCAACATCATGTCTGGTTCTCAGGATCAAATGTCCCCCATCGGCGACGATCTGCCTTCTGGCATCGATCGCGTCAAGATTGACGACGGCGAGCGCCTCGGCCCCGATGGAGAGCCAGCGCCTCGCACCGACGAAGAATACGCCGTGGCTCAGCTGACCCTGCGTGCGATCGTGTCTTCCAAGGAGGCAGGCGTCATCATCGGCAAGGGCGGCAAGAACGTCGCCGAGCTGCGCGACGAGACTGGAGTCAAGGCTGGCGTTTCCAAGGTCGTACAGGGCGTTCACGACCGCGTTCTGACCATCACTGGAGGATGCGACGCCATCTCTAAGGCGTATATGGTTGTCTCTCGCGCCCTGCTTGAAGGCGCCCCGGCCATGGGCATGGGCGGCGTCGTCCAAAACAACGGCACACACCGTACGGTCTTCTATTCATGCCTCCATTCCGTCTGTCTTGACCGAAGTGATATTCACTAACTTGTGTGCAATGCAGCCATCAAGCTCCTCATCTCCCACAATCAGATGGGAACCATCATCGGAAAGCAGGGCCTCAAGATCAAGTATATTCAGGACGTATCCGGGGTGCGCATGGTCGCACAGAAGGATATGCTACCTCAGTCCACCGAGAGGATCGTGGAAGTACAAGGAACACCCGAGGGTATCCAGAGAGCTGTTTGGGAGATCTGCAAGTGTCTGATAGACGACTGGCAGCGTGGTACCGGCACCGTCCTCTACAACCCCGCCGTCCGGACTGCACCTGGCGGTATCGGTGGTAGTGTTGGCGGCGGCAGCTATTCTACTGGAAGAAGCGACTACGGTCCACCGTCGCGTGTTATGCGCACTGGAAACGGTGCTGATTTCAGCAATGGCGCTACACCTCGGTCTTTCAATCGCCGGTCCGACTCCGAGATGGGGGGTCGGGGCCCGCCGACCCACGATGAGAACGGTGAAGAGATTCAGACCCAGAACATCAGCATCCCGGCAGACATGGTGGGCTGCATCATTGGACGGGCTGGTAGCAAGATTAGCGAGATTCGCAAGACCTCGGGAGCGCGCATCTCGATCGCCAAGGTAAGCACAGTGCACCACCCTGTCGCATGCAAAGAGTTGTCGTAGCTATTGGCTAACCTGAGCGCAGGCCCCTCATGATGATACTGGTGAGCGCATGTTCACCATCATGGGTACTGCCAAGGCCAACGAGGCCGCTCTGTTCCTCCTTTACGAGAACCTTGAGGCTGAGAAGGTCCGGCGCAGCCAGGCACCCCAAGTAGAGTAAGAGGAGGGGTGTTGTTGACAGGCGTTTCGGATGGCTCTTTTTGGAGGGCTGTGTTGTATACTTAACTCCAAAGGCTCTCATACTCACGGTCGGATTTGGTCACCCCTTGACGGCTGGGAAACCTCCAGATCTGACTTGCCGCAAGGCTGATTTCTTTTATTCTCTTATTGTTTTCGTTTTCCTTTTTGATCCTCTTTTTTTGGTGGGTGAGGACGAAGGCAAAATGAACGTGCGACTGTTCTCTTCCCCGAAAAGTGTTCCGATGGCCTTTTATTACCACGGAACCAATTACCCTCTCTTTGCGGATCGACTTGGTGGGCAGTTGTGGAAGGAAGCGGACGGGACTGGTTTTGTGGCGGTTGCAGAAGACTGATGAGGAGTCTTAAGGCTTGGGGCTCCGTTCCTCAGGCGGCTGAATCGCCTGGAGAACGCCCTCGCCCCAGGTGCATCACTTGAAACCCGACAATCAGTGCGGACCAACGAGAATCGTCCTAATCTCGTTACGACGACATGACACGGCAGACGGGAAGGCTCTTCTTAGGATGCGGCTTTCGTCGACGTGAGAATGCAGCTTCGGCCATCGAAACATATCAGATACCCTTTTTTATCGAAGAAGCTCGAGACTAGTTCGGGTTTTGCAATGTTCTTATTCGCAGCAACACAATATGCACTGCCGCCTACGCCTCCATGGACCTGGGTCTTCTGGCCTGGTGTGGTCTCGACTCAGTCACTATCCCCAACAAACACCAAAATTAACGATGAAGACACTCCTCTTTTACCTCATATTTTCTAGTGCTTACCCAAGGTTCTCTCTTCTCCTTTTTTCTTTAACGACAACCCCAATTCAGGCCAACACCTCGTTTCTGAGACGGCTCCCAGAGCGGAGAGATGAATGAGAATATCTGGTGTAGATGACAGACCATCACCACAAGGCACTCGCGAAACTCTCTGTGTGACCATCCTCTTCTTCCCCTGCAAGTGACGTGCAAAAGCTGTTTGATGTACCCCTCCAAGCACGACATGGGCCCCATCTGCGCTGACATGCTGTTCCTGAATTGCCATGTCATTGCTCCGAGGAATCTGATCTTGACACTGACGATCGCCACGTGCCAGAAGCAGGGGGACGACGTGAACAGGCCTGGCAGCACCAGGGAGGGGTCTATTGTGGAGCTTTGACTGGAGTCGCTCCACACCCCAACTGTCTACCTGACATGCCGCTAGATTATCGATAAGCATACGGCCCGGGGGGATCGTCACTTTTGTCACATTCCCTCCAAAATGATTTCTAGTTGAAGCCACCTTGTCAGCTTCGGGAACGGTTCTGTCTCCTGACATTCTTTGACAATTTTTATAAAAGCTGCACCCTGTCCTTTCCGTTTCAAGTAACCTTTACTGTCTCTTGTAGTCCACAGCTACTCAGTTCTGGCCATCGGACTCCCACTCCTTCGCAGAAGCCCCTGAATTACGACGTGGCCAGTCCAACCTTGCTACTACGTACTGAATGATCCCCGAGATCCTCAACCCGTCCCTCCTTTTACACTAGAACAACACAAAGAGGAGCCCTACCCTCGACGACACCATCAACATGGCAAGAACGAAGGCCGCAGCGCCTATCCGGAGAGAGCTGTCTTCCGAGTACACTGGGAAACACGATCGAACGGCCAATGGTAGGGACCTCGCCCCTAAGGGCGCGAACGGCAGTGTCCAGGCCGCCAAGAGGGAGAGCACAACCCAGGACTCAGGCGCGGGTGTGATCCAGCTACTGATCTGCGTGTTGGGGATCTATGGGTCTTTGTGAGTCTCTATGCCATGGCTCCTCTGTGATCAACAAGTGCCACACACACAGAGAGAGCTTCCGCCTCGCCGCGCTCCCTAGACAAGCACTCGGCTAATATCTACCACTGTGTGACCTAGCTTGACCTGGGGCGTCCTTCAAGAAAAAGTCCTCACGACGCCGTACACGAATCCCTCGACCGGCCTCACCGAGAAATGGAAATTCCCCGTCTTCCTCCAAGTGATACAGTCCATCTTCTCCTCCATCACGGGCTCCCTATACCTCTACACCTCCACGCCCAAGGGCCAGGCCGTGCCAGCCATCATCCCGAACCAGCGCATTATCCTGCCGCTCCTGCTCGTCGCAGTGTGCCAGGCCCTCGCGGCGCCCATCGGCTACGCGGCGCTCGCGCACGTCAACTACATCACATACACCCTCGCCAAGAGCTGCAAGCTGCTCCCCGTCATGTTCCTGCACATCACGCTGTTCCGGAAGAAGTATCCGCTGTACAAGTACCTCGTCGTGGCGGCCGTGACGATCGGCGTGGCCGTCTTCACGCTGCACTCGGGCAAGAAGAAGAGCTCCCACAGCTCCTCGTCGTCCGAGAGCGGGCAGACGGCCTGGGGCATGTTTCTGCTCGGCATCAACCTGCTCTTCGACGGGCTGACCAACAGCACCCAGGACTGGATCGTCTCCGAGTTCCGCCCGTATCGCGGCCCGCAGATGATGTGCGCCAACAACATGATGAGCTCGGCGCTGAGCGGCCTCTACCTCGTCCTCAGCCCCTGGCTGGTGAGTACGCCGGTGGGCGCGTGGTTCGGCATGGCCGAGGCCGTCGGTGGTGATGAGGCAGGCGAGCTGTACGCCGCGCTGGGCTTCATGGCCCGGCACCCAGGCGTGTGGTGGGATGTGCTTGGTTTCGCGGCCTGTGGTGCCGTAGGACAGGTCTTTATATGTGAGTTTCTTCCTTTCCTGCTGCAATAATCAACCCGCTCCACCCCCCCCCCCCCACAACCTTTCCCCTTGTTCTCTCAAGGAACCCTTTTTTTTCTTCTCTTTTTCTTTCTCTTTCCCTTTTCAATAGATACATTGCAAAAAAGATGGCGTTCTTGCTAACCCCCTTTCACAGTCTACACGATAGCCAACTTCGGCTCCGTCATCCTCGTCACCGTCACCGTCACCCGCAAGATGCTGACCATGATACTCTCCGTCATCTGGTACGGCCACAGCCTCACGCATATGCAGTGGCTGGGCGTCTCCATGGTGTTTGGCGGCATCGGCGTCGAGGCCAAAATTAAGCACCAGTCCGAGATGCAGAAGGCGGAGCACAAGAAGAAGCAAAACGACGAGACGGAGAAGAAGGCGCAGTAAGATGTATAAGTATAAATATGTACTTGCTTATTTCTAGGTAGAGCATACGGGCGTTTGGGTTAGGGAGGTCTGGATTTCTGTGAAAGGGTGGTTTTGGTTTGTTTTTTTGGTTCATTTATATACAACTTTTTCCCTCTTCGACTGTATTTGTTTGTACCATGGGGAGAAAGACGTGAAGAGGAAAAAGACCTCACGAGGTCAGCCCTGTACATAGTAAATATAGAGAGAGCCTTGTCGAGGCAGACCTTCTAAATTCGATACTTTCGAAAAGGCACATAGGTGTCTCGAGATATAAATCATCCTCGTCCCTCTATGTCGATACTTACTTCGGGTCAGTTCCTAAGTACAAGTGGTCTTCTGGATTTGGGATATCGTATACCAAGACGGAGGGGAGACTGGTGATCCAAGTGTGAGTAAGAGAGAAGTAAATGACTCTCCCGATGTCATCCGCTTCACCTTTCGTAACGGGTAGTAGTAGGTTGAAAGATGCTATTGACAATGGACGGCATTTTCGAGCACTCGGTGTGTGTACTCAAGGGACAGAATTCCAAGGCAAGCATAGTCAGTCTCTTATGCTCAGAAGCTTTTCTCTTACGGCGATATCTGGATGAATTTCATTTGAATAGTCATAGAGAGCACAAGTACGTTTGATTAGGTTGTTCATGATATGATGATAATTTATTTCCTGCGAGCCATAGCTTACATTTCGTCTCTAGAATACCATCTCGCCCATTTCCTTCCGCAGCTCACCCTCCCTCCACTTCTACTTGGTATTTCCTACTCTCCCCCCCTCTCATGTTAATTCATATCCAGAGTCTCATTCTCTCCTCGGTCCTTCGACTTCGTGATCGGGGCCGTGGCCTCGCGATCTCTTCTTCCCGTGTTGGCTGATTCTGGGAATCAAAACCCGCAATGACAATGAGCCCCCCAAGGCCAAAGAAAATATGAGCTTTTCGTCCCATGATACGCCACTGCCTGCGACAAGAGAGAAAGAAAAAAAAAACAAGAAAATCATCAAGAAAACGCCTTCGAACGAGATGTGGTATGGTGATAGCCCGTGGCCTTCCCAAGTTTGTCCCCCCCCCAAAAAGGTAATCCGATTCCATGCACCAGTAAGAAGCGGCACCTTTCTCCCCGATTATACATTCCATTTAGAAAATATTGAGACCCTGCGCGGGTCACTGAGCGATCGTGTGATAATGCGAATGAGTTGAGAAAAAGAAAAGAAACCCAATTGTGAACAAAGTGAATAACAAAAGGAGAAAGATTTTGTGTGTTGACGCGCTCTTCTAGACCATGATGAATTCGATCTGAGCTGAAGAAAAGAGAAAAAAGAAAACGCCAACTCATGCTATGCAATCATTTGATTATGAGCCTGTCCACTTTGGTAATGTGCAAATCGACTCTCCGTGGAGGCTTATAGCATCTCATCAATAGATCTGACGATAGGTGCCTCGCCTTTGGTAGGCGGGCTGCGGGGGTCGGTGACCTGCCTGGGTCTTCCAAAGGGGGTAAATGTATCTCTTGGAAATTCCGATTTTCGTGGAGAGAAGAGGTCTTGAGTTGATGCCTGCTGTGCAGGCAAAAATTGGTCACTGGGCGTCGGAGGAACCTCGACGAAGCGCATCCCCGTGAACTCGGCAAAGGACGTGTGAATCGGATTGTTCGTCATCGTTTCGGCCCGGGGTGACAACAAGGGAGTAGCGTCAGGCTTGGTGCTGATGGCCTGGACCTGTTGTTCTTTTGGAGCAGGCACATCGTCACTTTCTCGTCTGGCCAAAGACCCGAAATGCAGCGGGGTGAATCCGAAGGTGCCCTGGCCGCCAAACCGGTGCGCACCAAACCCAGGAGATGGTGGCGGCCTGGTAAATGGATCCGCAGGCCCGAAACCTGGCGACGGCGGGGGTTTGGGGAAAGCGGCTGACAGGGACGGCGCAAAGCCGGGAGATGGTGGAGGCTTCGGGAAGGGGTACATTGACTTTAGAAATCCATATTCAGGGCTCTCGGCAACCGGCGAAGGGGTCGTGAAGATGGATGAGTGATTGAAACGGCCGAACCGGCCCGGGTCAGATGCATCCTCCTTCTGTGTCCAAGAGAAGGCAGATGGGGCAGACGAGGGGCCCGGGGAGATGGCAAGCTGATCCGGTGAGGAGTTTCCTCGCGCGCGCAACGGCAACGGTTCGGGGCTCTGAGATCTCATCACCCCATCCTCATCGGGCAGAGGCGCTGTTCGTGGTTCCTTGGGCACGTCAATGGCATCGACCGAGAGTGTCATCCGATGCTTAGATGGGCTCCGGCCACTTCTTGGCTTGTATGCCGAGTTGGGCGCCAGTTTTCTCTTGGCTACCTCCTTTTGGAAGTCCTGCAGGCAGTACATCAGTCGCATGTTGGGGCTGATCCACTTGCTCTTCGCCTGTGCCGCGTAATATGCGTCGTTCACGCTCATCTCAGGGTTTTGATACAGGCCGTAGGCGATGATCAGGCTGGCTGAGCGACTAGCGCCCTGTTGGCAGTGGACCAGAACCTTCTTGCCTGCCAGAGTCTTCTTCTCGATCGTCTCGCACAGGTGCATGAGATCTGTGCCAATATCGGAGTTGTGGTCCCATGGGATATGGATATACTCGGGCTCCTTCGGTGTGAACATGGCCTTCGGCGTTGTGGGTGTCGCATCATCGGGTTGGAACTCGAACGCCGTAGCGAAGCTCGCGTCCGTGACGGCAGTGTCAGGGATGGGCGACATGTCCTTCATGGGTTCGTCTCGAGACGCTGCTGGCCCTCTGAAAGGATTTGCCACCTCCCGAGCCACATTAATGACAACATCGAACTTGCGCGCCTCCTCGGCCGTGGGCTCCAGGTAGAGATAGACGTCGTCTCCATAGATCGCAATAGGCCCATCGGGGTAACCGGGCGACTTCTGGTCTTCGTTGCTCTCCTTTTCATGGTAAGGCTCGATGTCGAAAGCAGAGCGATTTGCCATCTGACTCCTGATCGGCGAGTCCTCCTCCATAATCGGATCGTTGGTGCTGTTCGACGAAGGTGCCTTGGAGGCTCTTCGGAGGAAGGACGACAGTCCTGATTCATTACGCTCGAAGACGGTGGGGAAGCCCATACCGCCAACTGGGCCGAAAGTAGCAGACTTGAGCCCGGACAGCATGTGCGGAGACGATGTAGAGTGCTTGAGGGCTCGTCTTTGTGCCAGCGCAGGCACTGACGGGCTCTGCGGGACGTCTAGGGTGGGCCGGCCGGTCAGATCGTCCGAGTTCGTCTTGAGACTGAGGTTGCTAGGCTTTCTCTTCATTGCTGGGATCTTGGGCTTGATGAATGACGGTGAGGAGGGCTCCGATGTCTGTGTCGAGGAAGCACCCGAGGTAACAAAAGGAGGCTGGATGGACAAGCCCTTCATGTTCCTCCGTCTCGGCGCCGGAGACGTCATGGGACGCACGAGACCGGGCGTGGGTTCTGAAACAGTCAGGTTCGCCATCGACGGCAGAGCCCCAAACGAGGTGCCTGGATACGCATTGAGAGGTACCAGGTTAACGGGAGAGTCGGGGGAGGAGGAAGGAGAAGGATCTGAGAGCGAGGATGAGTCGGTGCACGATACTGTTGTCGTAGGGGACGAGCCTGCGGATTCAGAGGTCTGCGTCGACGTACTCTCGCGATGTTGGTGGTTGGGCGCAATTGCTGGTGGCTGAAGTAGTGCCGAAGGGTCTGACCCCAGTTTTGGGCTGCATGTTGGCTCGATATCCATCATCTTAGCATCCACCACTGTGACTGTGTCTTGATCTTGGTCTTGCATCGCCTGATCCAGATCAAAGACAGACATAAAGGAGGGTATTTGATCCTCGTATAACCTCCGCGCTGTCGTCGTATACATGATTATGGGATGACGTGCCACTGAAATCAGCGCTTGAGTTGCTGCTGAGGCCGGCCTGGGTCGAGTGAATCGTTTCCAGAGTTTGAGCCCTCGTCTGCTGCAGGTCTGACAGGTCAAGACCACCAGACCAACAATGTTTCGGGCGCGGGCAAGACGACTGTGAGGGAGCAGCTCTGACTATGAGGGCGGCTTGGTGAGGGTAACAACTGGCAGATTACTAGAGGTGTATAGGCAAAGGTGGAGAGGCTGGTTGTTTGCGAAACGGGACAGCACTGCTGTATCCTGTGTACGCTCGGTGTTGACCTCTGCTGCGACCAAGTGGAGGGATTGTGTGGTTGTCCTGCGTCACGGCAGTGCCCTTTGTTTTTTGTCTTCTAGAAGAAATCGACGGTAGTTATGGTGGATTGAATATGGGGCAAGTTCCCACAAGGTTCGATGGTCCACTCGATATCGCGGTGAGAGAGGAGGGGGGGCGGAAGGATCTGTTGAGGTACGTATTTGCTGATTGACAGAATCCGCCAAATTGGGTCGAAGGGATGAAAAAGAGAGGGGAGGAAAAGTATTATCGGCTCGAAAGAGGGAAATGGCGGAGCAGGACAATTAGAGGCAGGAAGAACGACTCTTGATGTCAACACATGATCGACCTGATGTCCAGACCACAAACTTCGAGGGTAATGGCTATGACGGTGAGAAGGTGAGAGAGACCGTAGATGAGACGAAACGATTGCTGAAGTGGGCCGTGTCGGTCGAATATCGTGAGGCCGGTTTCTGGGGGGTTGACGAGCGGGTTGGTGGCCCTTTCTCTCTTCCAGGCTGGCTTTCAATCTTCGAGTGTACCACTTTGGGTCGTTTGTCTCTCTGTGCGTCAAGTTGTCTCTCCTCTCTAACCTCAAGGGAAGAGGGGGGGGGGCAGTGATGAATTTGAGTAGCTGCACAGGATCGCCAGAAGGATCGAGTTGTTCGTATGGGAAGATTAGAGGGAGGGAGGGAGGGAGAAAAAAAAGGCTGTCAAGAGAGGCCGCAAGGTCGGATCAAGTTGCCTGTGCCTTGTGGGTGGGCCCTTTCGGAAGCGATGGGCAATAGCAGACAGTGGAGAGAAAGACGACGAGCGATCAGGAGGGCCTGGAATAGCGACTATGTGGCTAAACCAGGATGGCTGGATGAAGTATTGTGCGGGATCGGAAACGGCAAGGAGGAAGAAGGAGGATGAAAGACCCTGCTGCTGTGATAGGTTGAGTACAAGTTCTCGGACCCAGCGACAGCCGCGCAAAGAAGTCGGTCTGTAAGGTTCGACCTCGTTGTCCCTGGGAGTGAGGAAGGAGAAGAAGGGGGTGGGGGAAGAGAAAGAAAGAGAGGCGTGCGAGTGTGTATGTGGAAGAGTGTGTAATCCAACAGGTTCACGGCGGGATCGAGAAGCGGAAAGGTGAAGGCGTGGTCGTAGGTGGTAGGTTAGGTAGGCGGTTGAGAGACGAGACGGGACCCAGGCCCCAGTGCCAATGCCAGTGTGCCAGTGACAGTGACAGTGGAGGTGCCAGCGGCCCAGGGTCAGCGGGAAAAGATTAGCGAGGGCAAAAAGACGAATAAGAGACAGGCCCAAGAAGTGTCGAGGATGAGGGAGCGAGAGGGCGGAGGGGGAAATAGAGAGCGAGCGAGGAGCAGGGGCTCAAGGATACAAGGATAAACCCCCAGGGATGAGTTGCAGGTTGCAGGGGATCCAGGCGCCAGTGTGCCTCACAAGCGCGGATGTGCCAGGCAATGCTGACCAGGGTCACCAGGTACGACCAGGGTCCAACCAGCCACTACGGAGACGAGATAAATGGGGTACACCAAGAACCGGGACAGGAAGTTGCGGCTGGAGGTTGGTGGGTCTAAATAGCAGCCAATAAGACAAGAGGGGAGGGTGGAAGGGGGCAAAGCGTGGCAATGTGAGAGTGCAGAGCCAGAGCCCGTCAATCTCCAGAAATAGAGTACCCCCCAAAGGCGAAAAATCCCCTCCCCCAAATCCCTTCTCAAAGAAAGAAAGGAAGGGGGAGGGGGGGGGAAGACCATTGGCAAAGTGACGGTTCGCCGTGCCCGATGCGGACGTGACTGGAATTGTGTCCTTGTCGGCCTTATTACTACTGTGTACGGCACGGAGGGGCCGTGGTGCGTTGGTGCATAGTACACAGTACCACGTTAATAGCAATATTAACAGTTACCACAAGTACCATGAAATGTACCATTGGTATGTATGTATACGTATTACAATAGTAGGTGCTATGGTAGTATTCAGTCGCAACGCAAGGGCCCCACGATCTGTAGATGAGATCGGCGGGCTTGCCTGTGGACTCCTCAATCATCTCTTCCAAAGAGCGTCCTGAACCGGTCCTGGCTTCATTACCGAGCCGCTGTAAAACGAGTAGGAAGGAATGTCCTCTTCAAACATGGGGTTAGGTGATCATGATGGAAGAGGAAGGGGGAAGGGAAGAGAATAGAAAAAGCAAGCACGAGCCCCCAAGTCCTTCCCCCGACCTCGAAGACGTCGGGGGTTGGGGAAATTAACAGGCTGGGGGGTATCACCTCGCTCGGTGGACGCTCGCAGCAGGCTCTGCTCTCTGTCTCCTTCTCTCCCTCCTGCGCAGTACAATATTATAGTGCAGTAGGACTGTGTACTAACTAACTCAGTAGCCTGACATGGTATACAGTAGCCTCTGGAGTGGCACCGCGGGCAATTCGAAACAACCGACTATTTTTAGCAAGATCACGGCGGTAAACGGCTGCCCAGCTCAGCCAATGAAGTGAGGCGGAGCTTCCTTGAGGTCCCCACCTCAGAAGCGTCGTGGTGGGTCTAGACGGTGGGAAAGAAGAGGAAGACACGCAAGCTACTGTGTCCTACTATAGAACCGTCCCATGAGATTGCATTGTTCCCTATCGAGCCAGGCCAGGGGAACAAGGAGAAAGGAAAAGAAAGAGACCAGGAAGGCGATCAAAACCCAAGGAGAGGGAGAAGCAGCACAGAAAAAGAGGGAAAGAGGGATAGAGGGAGTGTGTGTGAGAAGTGGGTCAGAAGGAAAGATCGAGCCTCTTAGTCAGGGCAGGGGCGTGACCTTGGTGATGTACCACAGTACTATGGTACTATGGCTGATCGTCCTGAATTGAGTTTCAAACCTGAGGTCCTACCGTCCCCCCTCTTCGTCCTTCTCCTGTGCTTCTCCTCCACTCTTTTGCTCGCCCTCCTCAGCAATCTTCGTCTACATTGTATGTGTACTACTCCACGCCCACTTTTACCCAATCCAGGAATGTGGCCACACCCGTAGACCAAGTGCAACCAGATCTACGGTACTGCACTTGATTCGAGATAGGATTCAGTGCCCACCACGGAGATCTTCTAACCGAGGCACACACTCTTACCATAATGTACCTAGCAGATATCACATACTACATGTTACCATTCATCCCGAGCACATCAGCCCTGAGTGGCAGGACGCAAAGCCTCCATCTGGTTCCCACCTTCCGGAGACGGGGGACAGATCTTGCTATCGCCTCACACGTCTTCAGCTGATCGCGCCTTGCCCCGCCCTGCTTGACTCTGACCCGACCTGACCTGACCTTGCCTAACGCTCACCTGTTCGTTTGTTCATCCATCGACGACCCCAGACCGACAATGTATCGTCTGTGGCCAGCCCGGGCCTGGTGGGCTCAGCAGAGTCTAGGCTTCTGCATCTCCAGTCGACCTAAGACCCAGCCATACTCGTCTAACTTCAGCCTCCTCCTGAACACCCGTGAGCGGAGGCTGGCCCCTCCTCCACACGACACCTCAGACCCGGAGCCGAACTGTGCTAGCCAACAGATCCGCCTTGACCGCCTTGTTTAGGTTTGGTCGAGCTCGGTCTACTGCCGTGCGTGCTTCATCACCGGCCACCTGGCACACATACTATGGTTTCCTTCCCCCGCTTCCCAAGGCAACGGGGGTAGAAACGAAACACGGGCAAATCTCAAGGGCGTTCCCCAGCCACACGGTTATGACGTGGTTTTGTTGACTCTCGCGTCCACACTGGCCAGATAGGTAGCTTGGCCAAACCTTCTCATCGTGACTGTTTTGTGTCTGACGAGCACGAGCGCGAACGCCTCTCCAGATGGGATCGGATGGACGCACCAGGGATCTTCCTTGCATCGGCCGTCAGGTATGATAACCCCCCAGTGAGAGGCAAAATGGCCACAGTCATCTCCAAATTGTCAAACTTCAAAATCCTTCCTCTCGTCGTGAGAGCACAAAAGTTGCACGAGCCATCGTCTAGCCCTCGTCATGTTCCCACGAGTGGCCGCGCCTCTCGAAACCAGGACGACATTGATTGCGCCCGTGCCGGCTGTTGCTTTTTTTTTTGCCCCATCCCCCCCCCCCACAGTCTAGCCAGCACGAGCACTGTTTACTTGTGTCAGAAGATGGAGCCAAACCTGAAACACGGAGACGCATTGTGAGGGGTCTTGACCAACCGTTATTGGGAAGATACAAGCCACCCCGGCTAGGCAATCAGAGTTCAGGCTGATTCCGCCCTCGTGACATGGCGGAAGGTCTCTATTGTTGTACCAAGTGCTCAGATGACTGAACGTCAAACTACAGTACCTCAGGGACCGTTTAGTGGGTGAGCAACTTTGTCGGACGAATTGCCAACAAGTCAGCGAACCGTGCCCACCGACCAACACTGCCGCCTCCACCGGTCGCCCACTATGAACGACACCGGGTTCACTGCATCTTCTTGCAATACGCCTCGACCAGGCTTCCCATGACTTCCTGCATCTCACTGGTGCTTAAGGAAATGCGCCTCATCTTTACGAATTATTGCTGCGCATGCGCTTACTTGGCGGCTTACGCGTGTATTCTCTTGGCCCTCTCGTTGCTCTTCCGCCTGTCCTCAGCCAGCAATCCGTGACAGCGGGTGAGGCTGATGGATGGAGTGGGCTAAACCCGTTGTCCCTGAGATTCGGAGACGGGGGTTGCCCGTACAGACTGCGGTAGGAAC